TTTTGTTGACCTTTGTCCATGGAAGGTCCCTGCAAAATTTCATTGCAATTGGTTCAGGGGTTTTGGAGAAGAAGATTTTTGAAATTTTAGTCAATTTGACCCCTTTTGGCCCCGCCCCTCAGGCCCCTGGGGGCGTAGGACTAAACCGGCAACTCTTTTTGTTGACCTTTGTCCATGGAAGGTCCCTGCAAAATTTCATTGAAATTGGTTCAGGGGTTTTGGAGAAGAAGTCGAAAATGTAAATTGTTTACAGACGCACGACGGACGACGGATGACGGATGACGGACGACGAACGACGGACGACGGACGACGACGGACAAAAAGCGATCGCAATAGGTCACCTGAGACTTTGTCTCAGGTGACCTAAAAACTACCAATGAGATCACTTTTAACAACAAAATTTGAATGTCATGATAGTAAATACATTTGTAACATTTTCTTTCTTAACTGTCAATGAATGAAGTATACATTTTACTTATGGATCTTTAGACTTGAAGGTAATCTCAATAACTTTATATAGGAAATCTGATTTCTACAAATACATTTTGCCATTGGTGGTTTTAAACTTCATGGTAACCCCAGAAAGTTTCTTTAGGAAGTTTTTCATTTCTATGTATAAATATATATACATGGTCTGTACATGGTAGTTTACTGGGTAAAAAATTATAAATACATGATTATATACAGTTTATAAATACTAATGGAAAATTGACCTGATGGAATTCTAAGACCACTATAAACTTATCCTCTTTACTTTGGGGGATTTTTTTTATTCTAGTGGGGGGGGGGGGGGGGGGGGGGGGGGGTCAATTAAAAAGATTCTTCACTGAAAGCTCTGTCATATAAAGTAAATTGTATATAATTGAAATACTTCTGGGTTCAATTTAATATCTTACATGATACTAAAACAGCACACAAATATTTTAAATTTCGTTCGAGTCATAATACCCTACGAGAATTGCGATGCATAGAGAAGATAAATGTAGAATAAGAAAGTGAGACGTATTTGCCTTCAAGACAACTGATTCATAAAAAGTTTAAATTTAAGGAAGAATATTTCCCCAAAGGTTAGCTAGAAGAGCAAATTAATTCTGAATTTATTTTAAGAGATTACCAATCAATGAAAACAGTAGATGACCAGCCGAAAACATTTGGGGGGGGGGGGAATGCAAAACTTAAGTAAATTAGTGTTTAAAATGGTAGTACATGTATGTTCTAAAAGTAAGAGAAGTTCTGTGATACCGGTGCCCGATTCTCTATATATGACAAGTAGGTGAGATTTGGCTGCCTTCTGACTATATCATAATCAGTATCTCCAATATCATGTGTAGGTGAGACTTGGCTGCCTTTTAATGCCTCAAACTCCAATTTGATGGGTAGGTGATATTTAGCCGTCATGTGACACTAGAGCTAGCATTCTTCAGTACAATGGGAAGGAGAGATTTTCGCTGCCTTGTGATGCAAGGAACTCTAATATGATGCATATGTAACATCCGGCGGCTGTGTGACACCTGGATCTGTAATGCAATGCAGAAATGAAATTTCACTGCATCTTCACCAGATGTTTGTCCTGTACTGGTCTGCCACCTCCAGCACTGTATGGAACTGTCCTGTAATCTGCCTCCTCCCAGAATGTAGGGAATTGTCTTGTCCTAGTATGCTTTTTCCCTTGCTGTCCATAGTCCTCCTGTTCTAGCCGGACTTTCCTCTACAGAATGGTCCTTACCTAATCTGCCTGCTCCAGCACTCTACCAAATCATCCTGTTCTTGTTTGCTTTTCCCCACACTGTAAGGAGTTATCCTGTTTGATTCGTCCTTCACCAGCACTAAACAGGACCATCCCATTCCGATCTGCTTTCTCCAGCGATGAACAGGGCCATCCTGTCCTGATCTGCTTTCTCCAGTGATGAACAGGGCAATCCTGTCCTAATCTGCTTTCTTCAGCACTGTAGAGAACCATCCTGTCCTAATCTGCTTTCTCCAGTACTGTAGGAAACCATCCTGTCCTAATCTGCTTTCTCCAGTACTGTAGGAAACCATCCTGTCCTAATCTGCTTTTTCCAGTACTGTAGAGAACCATCCTGTCCTAATCTGCTTTTTCCAGTACTGTAGGAAAGTGTATAACTTTCATCTCGCTGGCGTAATCACACACTATCACTGTATTGTCAACAACCTTTATCTGATTCACAAACGCCATCCGCTCTGAATCACTTAAATGTACTGTACGGAGGATTTCACCTTTACTGACATCTAAAAGATGTATGCACCCCTGTGAAAAGACAATGGATAGGAAATTAGGCTCCAGACAAACTTTGGTACAAGTGTATCAGAAATGAACAAAGAGTCATAACGAAGTTTGTACTGGGGCACAACACTCAATTTCAATAAACAACACTCAACTTTCCCAAAATAAATAGATATAGTTTGGCCGATGTAGGTACAATAGTAAGGAAGTTTTGTTTTAGACATAATATTGCTATAATGTGATGTCTGCCAGCTGCCATCCTGTATTAATCTCCAAAGTTGAGGAGAGGGCTTCGATTATTTAATCAATAAAGATATTCGTCTTCCCCTACCTCCTCACCTACACAACCACACCCACACCTCCCAGCAATCAGACAGGTATGACTTACCTGTCCCCCTGTTACCAATAGGTTGTTGTTCAGCAGAGACAGACTGTTATTACCACATGGATCCTGTGACAAAGGAAATGGAGACATAAACAAACGTGATCTAATTGATGATTAATAAAGTGAAATCTTTATAAAAAAAAAAAAAAAAAATGAACATAAAAAATTACCACACAATATCTTCGTCCTGTATTGTGTGGCAGATAAGAGTTGTAGCCTCAATTAGCATCAATCCCTGACACATGAAATGGATACATTTTACATCTTTTTCTCATCCTTTATAATCTACTAAAGAAAAATCTAACATTTTTCAAAATGTGATCAATTTAAGGTTGTTTTTATGACCTATCAACATATCAAACAGCTAAATTTAAGAAGTATTGTATACAAAGTAGTTACTATAAATAAGTACTTGAACTTCATCTATATTCAAAAGGTACACAACCTGAAGTAAGACTGTAATGACAATCAAGTTGTAGTAAAGATTCTTCTGGCCCTAATGAAGCAATGACAGTGATAGAAAAGAAACAAGCAAGAGAAACAGTTATTTTCTCGGTCTAAATTTCACAAATGTTCCTTAAGGATCCCTGTCCCACTGATTGTGGTTTTTCCTATATGCAGTTACCTCCCCTTAACTTCCCTTTGGATATAACTGTAGAACAGTTGGACCAAGACACCTCCGTCGACGAAGAAGCTCTGTCAGTTAGAGTGATAGTTTAAGTTTAGCAGCCTGAGGATCAGGTTTGAACTCTGATCTAACCATGTGGTGTTTTTTTACACTACGAACACTGTTGATGATTACACTTTGTTTCATTTATTTCTCACGTTAGTCCTGCAATGCATGGTTTTCTTTTCATAAATGATTGATCAAAGCCAAAATCATGCTAGATTAAATAGCTTCCAATTCTTAGTTACACTTTCCGGCAATTGTACGGAGATCCTTAAGTGGGTTTTTTCTGTAGGAAAACATTATTAAGGTTTAGGAAAACAATTTAAGTTTCCTCGAGTAATAGTTTCTTTTGGAAAATCTGATGTTATTAGGGAATTTCCATATATTAAGGATTATTTGTGGGGCCTAGTACCCACCTTTTGATGTGCAATTAGATAACCCTACTTTATAACTGCCAAGACCTGCTTGAAAAAACAAGTTTTGTACACTATGTTTAAATCACTGAAGCACTGACCATACTGAGGCTGTGGAGTATGTTTCCTTTACACCGGTCCCAAATGACTAGAAGATCGTCCAGTCCGGAGCTTATCACAAATCTAGTTGTACAGGTCAAGGCCACAACGTTTCCCTCGTGACATTTGACCTTGTGTATACATGACCCCGTGGGAAGGTCCCAAAGGCGGACTGTACCCTCGGCATCACCACTGGCTGCTGCGTACGGTGGTAACTAGAGAGAATTTATAAATCATCATTTGTAAAACTTTACTAAGGTACAGAAGATTTCGGTATAATGCCACCATTTTTTTCATATAAATTTTGGCATTATAAAGAGGTTTGACGATAACTTGAGGGAAACGTATAACGGAATTCTTCAGAAACCAAGAAAAAAAGGGATAATGAGGTGGCAAATGAAACGAGAGGCATTATATTGAAGTTTTACTGTACACTACTGTTGAACAAATGCAAAACTTCACCCCTGTTATGTCATTAGAAGATTGTAACATTCTTACGTTAGATTTAAAAACATTTTTCAACTTTTTACTCATACTTCTTAAAATAATGTACTTGGCCTGTATTGCCACTTATTATATGAAGTTAGTCAAATCTCAACAGGAACAATATGTGTATGTGTTCATGTGTGCAAATTAATGCAAAAATTTACAGATTTATTTTAACCCAAAATTGTTTATTGTTTAACAGCAGTAACTGGTGCTTTACCTTGTCCAGATATAATACTGTAATTTTATCCTCGTGTCCGTGTAGTGTATAGAGGGTGAGACAGTTCTCCAGCTTGTACACCTAAAACATGTTCACTACATATATAACTGATATCAATACATCTCCGAAATACTGTATATTCAACATAAACAAATTAAAGCGATATGGTTCTCTACTATATGACAATTTTGTGACTTTTTTTATTAAAGCTTACATATATGAAATAATAGGAGAGCATATTAATTCAACACAAAACAATGCACTGGTTACAGTTCATTATCAGGTGTTGCTTCATCACAATGCCTACTCTGAGGCTGGAGATGGCCGGTGGTTCTACCTACCTGTAAAGTGTAGTCAGAGCTGACACAACAGGGCCGATCTGATCTTCAAAGGGAGATAATCACTATATTGCTTTCATTCATTGTATTTATCAAATGGTTGGATTGATTATAGCAGCGTTGTTCCTTTATGAAATAGGATTGATCTAGTGATTTTATGTTACTTTCTGGTGAGCCTTGGCAAAGACCTGCATAAACACTTGCTAAATACTTACCTTTAATGTATGGTCAGAGCTTGCAGACACAACATGCCCTCCCTGAGACTGCAGCTAGACGTTATACCTATCTTTAATGAATGGTCAGAGCTTGCAGACACAACATGCCCTCCCTGAGACTGCAGCTAGACGTTATAGCTACCTTTTATGAATGGTCAGAGCTTGCAGACACAACATGCCCTCCCTGAGACTGCAGCTAGACGCTATACCTACCTTTAATGTGTGGTCAGAGCTTGCAGACACAACACGCCCTCCTTGACACTGCAGTGAGACAATTGGTTGCTGGTGGGCTTTAATTCTTTGGATCTGAGTTACATGAATGATATCCTCCCACTTCCTCATGCTGGTTGGAACTGGGCAAGTGAGGTTCATGGTGGGTGTGAAGAAGGTGTGGCTATGGTTACGGACATGTCCTGGTTTCTTGGTGGGACTGGGATGATTGATATGGGACTGGCTGTAATTGCGGACATGTCCCTTGGCTGGGCTGCCTGTAGGAGGAACATGAGGTGGCTGGACTGGGTTCTGGAATGTTTCCATTTCCAGGAAGTCAATGGTGCCATCGAGTCGTGCAGCTACCACCCTGGTGGAGAAAACAGCCATATACTTTTATAGGACTACCTTCATGAATAACTCATCTGTAGAAGTTACTAAAATATCACTTTTTCACAGCTTGTAGTCTGGCTTTACAGGTTAATAACAATATTTGTTTCACTCTTATCAAATCTCTGGCTCTCGTTACACATGGCCTGTAGCCTGGCTTACCGATGTCTGATGAAACAGAGTGCTGTCACACCCTCTTTGCTGTCACCATAGAGACACTTGAGTGTTCCTGACCCTCCGTCCCAAAACTGTAACACAGAAAAGAAATATTTACTGGGATAGAGATTCACCAAACACTGTAATCTGCAATGATTAATGTGGGTCTTTCCAATTATATCGGCATAGATTTGGAGGCAATAATTCCTTCATCATCCACTTTTATGTTTAGTTTTAATTTAACATGTATAGAAGAGACATTCACATTTAGAATGTGTTATGTCTCCCTAATCTACAGTAGAATATCTAGAGATTTGCAGTAAGCTCACATCCCCATCTAAGACCCCTGGCCTGTATCGACTGTACAATCTAAGACTTGATAAGCCAATGTTCTCTGGCTTTTTACATATCCATTGCACCAGAACTGGTTTCTGACCTTTGTACAAGCACCTGACCTCTACTCTTACCTCTGACCCTTTATCTATAACCCATGTATTAACCTTTGACCCCAGTTCTGACCTCTATTCGTCCATTGCCACAGCCAGCGATAATGAGTCCATCCCTACAGGTCATACACCACACAGAAGGCGCCTGGTTGTCCTGGAAACCAGTGTCAAACAGACTAGCATCATGTTGTAGAGTGATGGGCAGGTCACCTAGTGAAAAAGGTCAAAAGGTTACTGGACTGCTGTTACAGCAATCAAGTCATGTTATATTCAATGTATTACTATTCAGGCTCATCTCATTAATAACAATTGTCACAGAAATGTTCACTGTTTGAGAAGACACTCTTCCAGTGTTACATGGTTGACTGTCTTGATCCTTGTTGCAATTCCAATAGGGAGAGAGGACAAGGGCATTTTCATATCAAATTGGATTTTTTTTAATGAAATCAATTAGAAACAAAGTCATACTAACATAGAACTAAATATATTATTAGCTTCTGATGAGGACACTTTCATGTCATAATGCTGCCAAGGGAAAGAATTAACTGGAGGTATGAGCATAATTCATTCCTGATGTCAGATAACAAGACCATATGTTCCTCTGCTGAAGGCAATAATGAGATAAGTATATCACACAATTCATCATGCAAAACCAAACATTCCAATCCCTAGAAGTGTGATTGTGCTGAGGTAGTTATGGCAGCCAGGATCCTCTTAATTTAATCTATTACAATAGTTTATCATTTATCATTTATATTACCTGCACTCCAGCTACGTGCACGGTTATCCTCCCACATCTGTGGATTGTTGACCATCATCCCTGCCTGACTCTCCATCACCAGCTGTCTGTGATCCCGGTAGATATGGTCAAACTTACTGCTGAAGTCATAGGCACGAGTAGTTCCACTCAGACTAGGCCCCCCACCCCCAGGAGAGGGCGAACAAGCAATAGTGTCACCCCCGGAGGACATTGGGGATAAGCTGCTGACACTTCCAGGGGAAGCTATAGATGAAACACCACCAGGACTGCTTACATTTAAATTTGAGTTATCCCCCTTACACAAGGTGGAGTGTTTGTTTCTACTTCCTGTTGAACTTAAAGCTGTAAAGTTTGTGTCTATGGTACTGTTCAAATCAGGCTCAAAATTGAAAATATTCCTGCGACATGCATCACCGGGTGGTTTGGTGTTGCTATGACTACGATGACGGGGACCTCCACTAAGTCCTTGGTCAGGGTCATATCTTGCCTCCTGCTGATGGAGAGATGTATCCATTGAAAGTGTGCTGCTGTCACCATGGTATTCATCATATAGATCAGCATCGCTGTCTTCAATGTTTCGACCAACACAAGGCTTTCTCTTCACAGGTGGTGTAGTACTGTATTACATAAACAAATATATAATACCATGGTAATTTACTCTCAACTCTCCTTGAAAAATAAACTTTTCTGTGTTGTTGTTTTTTTGTTTTGATTATTTCCATTACTCAATACAGACTTTTTAGAAATATTTGACATGGTAGAATAATAGTAAACATAAATAGTATTAAGGTTTTGACAAGTCAGCTAAAACTATTTCCCCTCTACACAAGACACACCCCAAATCCACCAGATACATCAATTAGACACACCCACCTTTTTCTAATAATTGACATCAGACAGTCGCCAGACACAGAGTCCCAAACACGGATCTGACCGCCCAAACAGGAACTGATGATGAAATGGCCATCGGTCACAACACACTCTATCTCCTACAATAGAAAAAAAAGTTCAGGTCAAATCAACAACTCATCTTTCTTAATATGTGATCAATTTATGATACATTAAATCATTAATTCTACCACACACCAACAGAAAGCTGATGCGTAATATGTACCACTCTGATGGCATTAAATCTGGTACCATTGTAACTATCATATTTATTATGTCAACCCAATATGAGAAAATAAATTTTAAACCCTAAACATGAACATACTAAAACACTACATTGATTCTCTACTATAAGGCTCCAGTAGACGTGTCACAAGATGTATATTTATTGTAAGTGATCATGTGATAAAGCTTAATATTTCCATTGATTTAATGAACGAGGCTGTGAAGATTTAGGCCTGTTACAGTAATGGTGTAAATTTTTATCTACAACATAGCTGTGAAAAGTTAACGGGACAGATTCTTTAACCATTTTTAATATAAATTTATTACCTTACTATAGACAAAGTGGAATCTTGGGAACAGACTCTTTATATTGCATATACTATATGCCTATTGCCTATTTGTACGTACCAAAGCAGAACCTTGATGAATAATTCTTCAACTGTATTTGATATATGTCTGTTACTTACCTGTACATGGCCCTGTAGAACCTTCGGGACAGAAACCTTAATTTGTTTGTAAAACATGTCTGTTACTTACCTGTACATGGCCCTGAAGAACCTTGGGGACAGACTCCTTAATCTGTTTGTAAAACATGTCTGTTACTTACCTGTACATGGCCCTGTAGAACCTTGGGGACAGACTCCTTAATCTGTTTGTAATACATGCCCTTCCTCCTCTGCTTGCTCTTAGACTTGCGCCGTCCATAGTCACGGGGACACAATTTGTGGTAACATGCTGCAATGAAGTAACTGATGCAGATGAAGCCGAGAATGATGATGAAGACTGTGATGATCACCTCCCGGTAAGATTTAGGATAAAGTTGTTTGATGTGTTCAGCATCGTAATTGTGTAAGTACCATGCCGATAGATCATTTAAGTCTGGAACTTCACTTTTGTCTACAGGTAAAGATGAGGATTCTTGAGATTTATCAAACTGTGGAATGACTGGTTTGGATGGACTGCCATCCTGTTCTGATGGGTGACGCATGTCAATGGCTTCCTGTGGGTCGACTATCATTGACAGGTGAATTGTGGGTAAGATGCTGATGAATCTGGAAGAGAAACAGAGTGATGTAATACTTGGAAGTTTTACTGGATATCAGTGTGTGGCTTATAACGGTAATTGTTATATAGTTTATAACTTTACCAATACCTGTTAAATTAAGTTATGACTAATACACACTTGGATGTTTTCTTATTTTTTTTAAAGAATAGTGAGTTTTATTTCATAACAATATTGCGCTTGACATATCCATTCATTTATTTCAGACCCTGTTTAGAAGTACAGAACCTGTGTCAAACACTTAAGACCTGGAAGCCAAGTTGTCAAAGTGTTGCTGTAGTAGAAACAGAGCTGGCCAGTGTTGATAATAACTTACTTCCCATACAAAGTGATGTTGTAGTAGGCAAACAGTGTTGGCCAGTGTTTGTAGTTTAACTGTCTCCACATGTCAAACTGTGTGTGCTCCACTGGACGTGGATCCTCCTCCTCTCCTGGTCTCCATGACCACCCAATCCCAGCATCCTCCTTTTGGTGGCCATTTTGTTGCGAATTTTGTTGACTTGCTAACTGCCCTTTATCCAGATTTTCAAATGAACTTGATGTCAGATTAATTTTTGATGTGGAGTTGGTGAGATGTTCAACCAGACCAGACTTATAGACAATGAGTGAGATCCAAATCACTGTACATACCTACAACAGAGGAAGCAATATAAGAAAGTGATATTTACTGAAGTTTGACCCTGGGCTACCTGTATTGTTATGCTACCTGTATTGTTATAAAGTGACATCTTACCTAATCTCGGCTCAGCAGTAACAGTACATAGACTTTGACATTTGTGAAAATTCAACAACACATGTTCAGTTATTCGACTTCGCATTATTGTCTTGAGAGTGATTAATAAAGTAAATAAAAAGATCTTCCAGACTTCAAAAAAAAAGGTTAATATTTATATAATTTTGTCTTCTCTTCAACTTATTGTAATTCATGTCAGTTGATATTTGTAGAATGCAGGATAGTGTGGGATGTCTTGCATTCATTGTTTTTGCGAAAGATTGATTTTAATACCTTATTAAAACTTGCTGTATTTAAATTATCACTTACAAATCAGAACAAAACATTATAATTGGAGAGTCACCATATTTTACCTATTAAGAATTAAAATTAATTCAGAGTCTTCAAAAATTCCAAACAGTGTCATCATTAATCAGTAAATCAGTAAATCATGGTGCAGAGATGATACCCTTGGACCATAAAAAGAACCAAGACACTTTCAAATAGAAGGAATGAGTAAGCTAAAAGGTCAAATTCAGTCGCAATATATCTGTGTGCGAAAAATCAAATAATCAACATAAACACATGCTTGTATTCAAAACTGATGATTCTCACCATGATCATCCTCTGTACCATGCGGGTACTCGCCCAGAAGTACAGAAGTCTGAGGCGACGTGACTGAATGTTGATTGCTGCGTTTTCAAAGAACTGGTCAATTTCCCTGGGAGTGATGGGAGGTGACCTGGGAGCGCCCTGGGTCGACGGTGTCGTAGGTGACTTCTGTATGTGCAGATTCCTTGAGTCACCAATGTAAGCCTTGACAGGACACCTGATCAGTGGTTCATACTGCTTGTTCTCCCCAGCTGAACCGACGGTCGAGATCAGAGGCTGTTTGTTCAGGTCAGACAGCTAGAGGAATAACGATAACAAAATGTAATACAATACAATGTATCGTATTTTACAATCATATTAAGGACTGTTAAACAAAAAAACTAAAAATAGATTATCATTGTAAGAAAACCATAATTCTCACCAGTCAAAGGATGCAGCTATGATGGTGCACTTACGTAGACTTTTCATTGAAGAAAATAAAAATCTCAATACATACAAGTATGGTAAGTTAGGTAATAGTAGGTGAAATAGCAGGAAGTAATGCTCAGGAAAATTTTAGCATTAAAAACCGCAAAGAGGTCCATCTATAGTGGCACATGAGACTTGCGTTCAGTATGTGACACTTTAACTTCCCAAAACACATAAGTAAGTTTGGTTAACATTTGAAAAATAGTAATGAAATAAAACGAACAAAGAGCCATACCTCTATGAATCATTGGGCAGAAGACCAAATATCAGCATGTTACTCTCTGTCTTCCCAAGAGTGCTCACATACAACATTTGGTAATTGTTGGAGACAGAGTAGATGATATATGAGGAAGTGACAAACTAAATGACCCCATGAACAACAACACTGTTACCTACCTCCATCCTCCTGATGTCCACTGATAACACTGTAACCTACCTCCATCCTCCTGATGTCCACTGATAACACTGTTACCTACCTCCATCCTCCTGATGTCCACTGATAACACTGTTACCTACCTCCATCCTCCTGATGTCCACTGATAACACTGTTACCTACCTCCATCCTCCTGATGTCCACTGATAACACTGTTACCTACCTCCATCCTCCTGATGTCCACTGATAACACTGTTACCTACCTCCATCCTCCTGATGTCCACTGATAACACTGTTACCTACCTCCATCCTCCTGATGTCCACTGATAACACTGTTACCTACCTCCATCCTCCTGATGTCCACTGATAACACTGTTACCTACCTCCATCCTCCTGATGTCCACTGATAACACTGTTACCTACCTCCATCCTCCTGATGTCCACTGATAACACTGTTACCTACCTCCATCCTCCTGATGTCCACTGATAACACTGTTACCTACCTCCATCCTCCTGATGTCCACTGATAACACTGTTACCTACCTCCATCCTCCTGATGTCCACTGATAACACTGTTACCTACCTCCATCCTCCTGATGTCCACTGATAACACTGTTACCTACCTCCATCCTCCTGATGTCCACTGATAACACTGTTACCTACCTCCATCCTCCTGATGTCCACTGATAACACTGTTACCTACCTCCATCCTCCTGATGTCCACTGATAACACTGTTACCTACCTCCATCCTCCTGATGTCCACTGATAACACTGTTACCTACCTCCATCCTCCTGATGTCCACTGATAACACTGTCACAAAGAAAACGATCTGGAGGAAGAAGTCTGTGAGGAGACCCACCATGGCAAACAACGCAAACTCCTAAAACATCAACATGTATAAACATTACTTCTGTACAATAGTACACACTCCTAAAACATAAACATGTATAAACATTACTTCTGTACAATAGTACAAACTCCTAAAACATCAACATGTATAAACCTTATTTCTGTACAATAGTACAAACTCCTAAAACATCAACATGTATAAACATTACTTCTGTACAATAGTACACACTCCTAAAACATAAACATGTATAAACATTACTTCTGTACAATAGTACAAACTCCTAAAACATCAACATGCATAAACATTACTTCTGTACAATAGTGCAAACTCCTAAAACATCAACATGTATACACATTACTTCTGTACAATAGTACAAACTCCTAGAACATCAACATGTATAAACATTACAGTGACTTTTAACACAAAACGTACCACACTACCAGCAAGTGGTTTTCTGTTGCAAAACTTAAAGCAGCTTCATAACTTTCTCTTCTCAAAATTGGCAGAAAACAACATCAATCAATATGTCGACTCATAAATTTATAAATATAACTAACAATATGGCAGAAAGATAGAATTTTGGGCTAGTTATCCGACAAGTTGCCATTCTAAGAAAACTGCATTTGCATAAAAACACATTTCATGTTTATATTGAATACATTTATATAACCAAAGCCCTAATAGATATAAACAAATAGTTCACATCGTAACTATTCAAAAGTTCAAAATCATAAACCACCAGAAGCCTGAGTGAATTAACATAGATTGAAATACAAAACAAGAGGCCCATGGGCCTAAACGGTCACCTGAGTCTACAGTATTTATTTTTGTTGTTGAAATATGTACCAATTTGAGTAAAAAATAGTATAATGTTAACTTAACTTTGTCAGGACCATGAGCTGATCATTCCTAGACCAATTTTAAGTGAGATCGGCCTATTAGAACTTAGTAGCAAAATAGCGGCCATGGCAGCCAAATTGTATTTCTGATTGACCCGAAAAATAACAACACTTTGTCAGGACCATGATTCGATCATTCCTACAAAGTTTCAGTTCAATCGGCCAAGTAGATCTTTACTTTAAGTTTGAAATAGTTTTCCAAAATGGCAGCCGTGGTGGCCATATTGGATTTCTGATCGACCCGAAAAATAACAACACTTTGTCAGGACCATGAGTCAATCATTCCTACAAAGTTTCAGTTCAATCGGCCTAGCAGAACTTGACTTTAAGTTTGAAATAGTTTTTCAAAATGGCGGCCGTGGCGGCCATATTGGATTTCTGATCGACCCGAAAAATAACAACACTTTGTCAGGACCATGAGTCGATCATTCCTACAAACTTTCAGTTCAATCGGCCCAGCAGAACTTGACTTTAAGTTTGAAATAGTTTTTCAAAATGGCGGCCGTGGCGGCCATATTGGATTTCTGATCGACCCGAAAAATAACAACACTTTGTCAGGACCATGAGGCGATCATTCCTACCAACTTTCAGTTCAATCGGTCCAGCAGAACTTGACTTTAAGTTTGAAATAGGTTTTCAAAATGGCGGCCGTGGCGGCCATATTGGATTTCTGATCGACCCGAAAAATAACAACACTTTGTCAGGACCATGAGGCGATCATTCCTACCAACTTTCAGTTCAATCGGCCCAGCAGAACTTGACTTTAAGTTTGAAATGTAAAATGTTAACGGACGACGGACGACGGACGACGGACGACGGACGACGACGGACGAAAACGGATAGCAATAGGTCACTTGAGCTAAAGCTCAGGTGACCTAAATATTGCATACCTGTATTTCTGGCACAAATGTGAAAAAGCCACAAATAATGATCATGAGTTCTGTAGCCAGGTTTTTAGTGATGGACCAGCCCTCTTTGCTGATACCTACAGAATAATCATGTAACTTGTTTGAAATGAGAATGGGAATTCAGAGAATTAGACACCAACATTCTGGGAAATTGGTCGAAGGCTAGAGAAAGTGATAATTATAACTTTCTCGGAGAGATACGTGTATCATATTATACATATGATCAAACTATTACATCTAAAATAAGATTCAATGGTGGTTACCTTTTTTTTTACATAACATTTAATTGATAATAAAATGTTATAGAACACATTACATTAGGACAATATTAGGCTAGTCAGTGATAAAAAATAACGAAGTGATAACAGTTACACCAGAGGTTTTGTAGCTGCAGATTGGTACAAGATAAATGATATTGAGGCCTGGTAAGGTTTTTTTTCTATGAACATTTAACTGTACAGGAGAATTACTGGAGTGAGTCAGTATTGGTATATCTCTACTTATGATGCCAATCAAACATTCCAAAACAGCTGCTATATTTACCTTGAGCTATCCTATGCTTGACCTCTAGGTTGACAGGAGTGGACACAACAGATTTAGTGATGACCATCACATTCTCCACACCAATCAGTACCACAAGGTAGGGGAAGATCTCGCTGTAACACCAAACGAATACATTCGAACTAAGAGAATTTTACAGCATTTGTTTCCAAAATTCAAAATAGAAATTAACCAGTCTAAACCTTAACTTTCAATAAATAACAGAAAAGAATCTATACAAAACCTCACTGTGTGACAGGAAGGCATCTTAACCTTCAATCTGGAGTAAACTATTTGACAGTAAAATAGACTCAGCGGTATCCCCTATCTGGTAGACAAGTCAGGATGGTGTGCCTAAGGGTCAATGTAGCTTACTTAACAATTGTGAGGTGTCAAAAGCACTAAAATTTTATTGCTATCTTAAAATTGTATTTTCATGTTTCAATAAAAATCATTAAAACCGATCGAATTAAGTAACACATACCCTCCGTTAAGTGTTAGAACCCTGTGTACATACCCTCCATTAAGCATTAAAACCCTGTGTACATACCCTCTGTTAAGCGTTAGAACCCTGTGTACATACCCTCCATTAAGCGTTAGAACCCTGTGTACATTACCGCCGTTAAGTGTTAGAACCCTGTGTACATACCCTCCATAATGTGTTAGAACCCTGTGTACATACCCTCTGTTAAGTGTTAGAACCCTGTGTACATACCCTCCATTAAGTGTTAGAACCCTGTGTACACACCCTCTGTTAAGTGTTAGAGCCCTGTGTTCATTACTTCCGTTTAGTGTTAGAACCCTGTGTTCATTACCTCAATTAAGTGTTAGAACCCTGTGTTCATTACCTCCATTAAGTGTTAGAACCCTGTGTACATACCCTCTGTTAAGTGTTTGAACCCTGTGTATATACCCTCCATTAAGTGTTAGAACCCTGTGTTCATTACTTCCGTTTAGTGTTAGAACCCTGTGTTCATTACCTCCATTAAGTGTTAGAACCCTGTGTATATACCCTTCGTTAAGTGTTAGAACCCTGTGTACATACCCTCCGTTAAGCGTTAGAACCATGTGTACATTACCTCTGTTAAGTGTTAGAACCCTGTGTACATACCCTCTGTTAAGCGTTAGAACCCTGTGTACATACCCTCCGTTAAGTGTAAGAACCCTGTGTATATACCCTCCATTAAGTGTTTGAACCCTGTGTATATACCCTCTGTTAAGTGTTAGAGCCCTGTGTTCATTACTTCCGTTTAGTGTTAGAACCCTGTGTATATACCCTCCGTTAAGTGTTAGAACCCTGTGTACATACCCTCCATTAAGCATTAAAACCCTGTGTACATACCCTCTGTTAAGCGTTAGAACCCTGTGTACATACCCTCCATTAAGCGTTAGAACTCTGTGTACATTACCGCTGTTAAGTGTTAGAACCCTGTTTCTCCCACACCTGACAGATTTATCTCCCGTTTTGCCAGTGCTAGATTTATCTGTCTCCGCCCTAGGGTTGAGACGGGGGGATTCCCCTATTCATAACAATGGCATGACGTCACTTCAACAATACAATGACGTCACGTCAACAATCCATCAACAAATTGCCTGTATGTGTTTTGGGTCCATGTTTACCTTTATTTCACATTAAAATACTGTTAGATATGGGAGAAAAATAATCAATCGCTACTGGTTGTGTAAGATAGAGAAATCTCAACCCTCGGACTAAGATTTTTTGTCAAGAACTCGGCAAGCCTCGTTCTGGTCAAAAAATCTTAGTCCTCAGGTTGAGATTTCTCTATCTTACACAACCAGTAGCGATAGATTCTATTAGTACATACCCTCCATTAAGTGTTAGAACCCTGTGTACATACCCTCTGTTAAGTGTTGGAACCCTGTGTACATACCCTCCGTAAAGTGTTAGAACCCTGTGTACATACCCTATGTTAAGCGTTAGAACCCTGTGTACATACCCTCCGTTAAGTGTAAGAACCCTGTGTATATACCCTCCATTAAGTGTTTGAACCCTGTGTATATACCCTCCGTTAAGTGTTAGAACCCTGTGTTCATTACTTCCGTTTAGTGTTAGAACCCTGTGTTCATTACCTCCATTAAGTGTTAGAACCCTGTGTATATACCCTTCGTTAAGTGTTAGAACCCTGTGTACATACCCTCCGTTAAGCGTTAGAACCCTGTGTATATACCCTCCGTTAAGTGTTAGAACCCTGTGTTCATTATTTCCGTTTAGTGTTAGAACCCTGTGTTCATTACTTCCATTTAGTGTTAGAACCCTGTGTATATACCCTCCGTTAAGTGTTAAAACCCTGTGTACATACCCTCCATTAAGAGTTAGAACCCTGTGTACATACCCTCCTTTAAGTGTTAGAACCCTGTGTACATAACCCCGTTAAGTGTTAGAACCCTGTGTACATACCCTCTGTTAACCATAAGAACCCTGTGTACATACCCTCCGTTGAGTGTGGGTGTTAATCCAAACACGGTACAGATGCTCACAGAACTCAGGAGTGATGACACGATGGTCACTACAGCACTGACAGCCAGACCCCACTTGGACTTCACCATCTCTATCTTTCCTGGAAAGGTCAAAGTTCAAGGTTGACAGAACATTAAAAATAAATAAAGGTGACCAGATCTCAAATCTTTCTTGATGATTGATTTTACTATTGACAAAATCGCTTAAGGCAATCTCAAATTTGTTTTGATACATGAAAAAATTGTTATGTTCTAATGGACAGGCATATATAGTTGGCTTTCATTCAAATATCTCTTTACAAAAAAATATGGAAAAATCATGTAAATGGCACTATAATATTTATCACATAAATTGACAAGGATTAAATTTTTGGTAATACCTCTTTATGTATTTTCAAGGTTTTTTTTACAGAATTTTCACAAAGACAGATTGTCAAGTGTTGCTATACACTCACGGACAGAGAAGTAGAGATACATAGCCAGTGCTATGTAGGTGAAGGGGTTTGTATATACTCACTGACAGAGAAGTAGAGATACATAGCCAGTGCTACGTAGGTGAAGGGGTTTGTGTATACTCACGGACAGAGAAGTAGAGATACATAGCCAGTGCTATGTAGGTGAAGGGGTTTGTATATACTCATGGACAGAGAAGTAGCGATACTTTGCCAGTGCTATGTAGGTGAAGGGGTTTGTATAAACTCACTGACAGAGAAGTAGAGATACATGGCCAGTGCTATGTAGGTGAAGGGGTTTGTATATACTCACGGACAGAGAAGTAGCGATACATGGCCAGTGCTATGAAGGTGAAGGGGTTTGTATATACTCACTGACAGAGAAGTAGAGATACATGGCCAGTGCTATGTAGGTGAAGGGGTTTGTATATACTCACTGACAGAGAAGTAGAGATACATGGCCAGTGCTATGTAGGTGAAGGGGTTTGTATATACTCACTGACAGAGAAGTAGAGATACATGGCCAGTGCTATGTAGGTGAAGGGGTTTGTATATACTCACTGACAGAGAAGTAGAGATACATGGCCAGTGCTATGTAGGTGAAGGGGTTTGTATATACTCACTGACAGAGAAGTAGAGATACATGGCCAGTGCTATGTAGGTGAAGGGGTTTGTATATACTCACTGACAGAGAAGTAGAGATACATGGCCAGTGCTATGTAGGTGAAGGGGTTTGTATATACTCACTGACAGAGAAGTAGAGATACATGGCCAGTGCTATGTAGGTGAAGGGGTTTGTATATACTCACTGACAGAGAAGTAGAGATACATGGCCAGTGCTATGTAGGTGAAGGGGTTTGTATATACTCACTGACAGAGAAGTAGAGATACATGGCCAGTGCTATGTAGGTGAAGGGGTTTGTATATACTCACTGACAGAGAAGTAGAGATACATGGCCAGTGCTATGTAGGTGAAGGGGTTTGTATATACTCACTGACAGAGAAGTAGAGATACATGGCCAGTGCTATGTAGGTGAAGGGGTTTGTATATACTCACTGACAGAGAAGTAGAGATACATGGCCAGTGCTATGTAGGTGAAGGGGTTTGTATATACTCACTGACAGAGAAGTAGAGATACATGGCCAGTGCTATGTAGGTGAAGGGGTTTGTATATACTCACTGACAGAGAAGTAGAGATACATGGCCAGTGCTATGTAGGTGAAGGGGTTTGTATATACTCACGGACAGAGAAGTAGAGATACATGGCCAGTGCTATGTAGGTGAAGGGGTTTGTATATACTCACGGACAGAGAAGTGGAGATACATGGCCAGTGCTATGTAGGTAAAGGGGTTTGTATATACTCACGGACAGAGAAGTAGAGATGTATGGCCAGTGATATGTAGGTGAAGGGGTTTGTATATACTCACTGACGGAGAAGTGGAGATACATGGCCAGTGCTATGTAGGTGAAGGGGTTTGTATATACTCACTGACGGGGAAGTGGAGATACATGGCCAGTGGTATGTAGGTGAAGGGATTTGTATATACTCACGGACAGAGAAGTGGAGATACATGGCCAGTGCTCTGTAGGTAAAGGGGTTTGTATATACTCATGTAGGTGAAGGGGTTTGTATATAGGTGAAGGGGTTTGTATAAACTCACTGACAGAGAAGTATAGTACATGGCCAGTGCTATGTAGGAGAAGGGGTTTGTATATACTCACGGACGGAGAAGTAGAGATACATGGCCAGTGCTACGTAGGTGAGAATGAGGGGCTTGTACTCGAGGAGGATCCGGTTCTCCTTGTAATGTACATGTACTAGCTGTTCTGGTTCTGTGTTGTTAACATTCTTTAGAGTGTCTGGAAAGGCTAGTACCAGTTTGTTCTTCAAAGCATCAATAAATCTAACAACAAAAGCATTAAGTTAATCACAACTAACTAAACCAAAGATCTTCAAGCAGAGAACATTTTCAAAATTTCATGAAAAAGAATGACACAGCAAAACAAGTGAAAATTAAATGCTATGAAATACACTTTACAGTTTATACAGAATTACAATACTCTGTACATTATTGTAAATTGACAACAAGAAATAACTTACTTTTGATCATTTTTCTTCAATACAATAGTGACAGCAAATGAGATTGTTCTCTGTAGGTTCCTGATGAAATATCGTGACACACCAGAGTTTTTGTAGGGTACTCCCAGTAAAATATCTGTAACAGAGATTATAACTTTACTTCAACAGACAGTTTGCAGTTTTAACATCTTAATTCAACATTAAATACTGTAAGTTGTAATCTAAGTATTAAGGTAAGTTTCAGCGAGACAATAAATGCATTTACTACTTTCACACACACATTAATCTAATTTGGGCTCAATTCATAATTAGCCAATCGGAAATAACCATTTGGTGGTACTAAACTGAGCTACAAACCTCAAAGGTAAGGAGATCTATACAAACCTCAGAGGTAAGGAGATCTATACAAACCTCAGAGGTAAGGAGATCTAAACAAACCTCAGAGGTAAGGAGATCTATACAAACCTCAGAGGTAAAGAGATCTATACAAACCTAAGAGGTAAGGAGATCTATATAACCTCAGAGGTAAGGAGATCTATACAAACCTCAGAGGTAAGGAGATCTAAACAAACCTCAGAGGTAAGGAGATCTATACAAACCTCAGAGGTAAAGAGATCTATACAAACCTAAGAGGTAAGGAGATCTATATAACCTCAGAGGTAAGGAGATCTATACAAACCTCAGAGGTAAGGAGATCTAAACAAACCTCAGAGGTAAGGAGATCTATACAAACATCAGAGATAAGGAGATCTATACAAACCTCAGAGGTAAGGAGATCTATACAAACCTCAGGGATAAGGAGATCTAAACAAAACTCTGAGGTACGGACATCTATACAAACCTTAGCGATAAGGAGATCTAAACAAACCTCTGGGTAAGGAGATCTAAACAAACCTCAGAGGTAAGGAGATCTAAACAAACCTCAGAAGTAAGGAAATCTAAACAAACCTCTGAGGTAAGGAGATCTAAACAACCCTCAGAGGTAAAGAGATCTAAACAAACCTCTGAGGTAAGGAGATCTATACAAACCTCTGAGGTACAGATATCTATACAAACCTCTGAGGTAAGGAAATCTAAACAAACCTCTGAGGTACAGATATCTATACAAACCTCTGAGGTACAGAGATCTATACAAACCTCAGAGATAAAGAGATCTAAACAAACCTCTGAGGTAAGGAGATCTAAACAAACCTCTGAGGTACAGATATCTATACAAACCTCTGAGGTACAGAGATCTATACAAACCTCAGAGGTACGGACATCTATACAAACCTCAGAGATAAGGAGATCTAAACAAACCTCTGAGATAAGGAGATCTATACAAACCTCGGAGGTACGGAGATCTATACAAACCTCAGGGATAAGGAGATCTAAACAAACCTCTGAGATAAGGAGATCTATACAAACCTCGGAGGTACAGAGATCTATACAAACCTCAGAGATAAAGAGATCTAAACAAACCTCAGGGATAAGGAGATCTAAACAAACCTCTGAGATAAGGAGATCTATACAAACCTCGGAGGTACAGAGATCTATACAAACCTCAGAGATAAAGAGATCTAAACAAACCTCTGAGGTACAGATATCTATACAAACCTCAGAGGTACGGACATCTATACAAACCTCAGAGATAAGGAGATCTGAACAAACCTCTGAGGTACAGATATCTATACAAACCTCTGAGGTAAGGAGATCTAAACAAACCTCTGAGGTACAGATATCTATACAAACCTCTGAGGTACAGAGATCTATACAAACCTCAGAGGTACGTACATCTATACAAACCTCAGAGATAAGGAGATCTGAACAAACCTCTGAGGTAAGGAGATCTATACAAACCACAGAGATAAGGAGATCTAAACAAACCTCAGAGATAAGGAGATCTATACAAACCTCGGAGGTACGGAGATCTATACAAACCTCGGAGATAAGGAGATCTATACAAACCTCGGAGGTAAGGAGATCTATACAAACCTCAGAGGTAAGGAGATCTATACAAACCTCAGAGATAAGGAGATCTAAACAAACCTCGGAGGTAAGGAGATCTATACAAACCTCAGAGGTAAGGAGATCTAAACAAACCTCTGAGGTAAGGAGATCTATACAAACCTCAGAGGTAAGGAGATCTATACAAACCTCGGAGATAAGGAGATCTAAACAAACCTCAGAGGTACGGAGATCTATACAAACCTCAGAGATAAGGAGATCTATACAAACCTCGGAGGTACGGAGAGGTGTCAAGTGTTTGGCCACGTTTCTGAAAGATGGTTCTGAGGATATCCCCATCAGATATAAATCTGCAAAACAATCAAGAAAATGGTTTGTTCAGCACACTGTTTATACTTTGAATGCTAGCGTAACATAACACTTCTGGGATTTATCGTCTATGTTTCTTATTTGTTGAATAGATAATGAAAGCCTCATATTTGACCAATGCATGTTTAAACTTTCAATTATTTGAGCATCCATGGAGTTCCCATATGAGTATGGAGTTGGATGAAGTCAGAAGGTATATATATTGGGTCTGAACATGTGGGTTTCCTCTCGGTACTCTAGTTTCCTCCCACCTTACAACCCATTGCGTACTTACATCCAGACCAGCAGAGTGATAAATATAAGTTGGAAAACCCTGTTTCATAACTAATGTAAAATAAACTTTATAAACTATTTAAGGAACAATTTAGTGTGTGGTGTGTTTAAACAATTTATCAAACCACATTGATAAGGTATGATATTGCTACGTGTATTAACTTCACCTTTCCCTGTTACGTCCCCAGAAGTTAGCAGGTGACACCTCCAGACAGGCGTACTCGGGAAGTATTCCCTTCACCTGTTTACTTCTCACTGTCTCCGATACACGTAGACACACATCAGCCACGGACACATCTTTCCCACTAAATAACAAAACAAATTAGTCAAACTCACTACTAGTAACATGTTTCTGGACTATCTTCCAACATTATCTCATTCTACTGAAAAAAGATGAAAGTCATGTCTTCATATCAACCTTCAACTGCAACCAACAATTCTTTTCCAAACTTTTTAATAATGTTTAACGTTGATAATATTCCTTCTTTTTTAAAAATACTATTTCTGTACCCAAGAAAAATTGAAAAATATTAAATACATTCTTCCCAAGAGTTGAAATAACTAAGTTTTTATCAAGTTACCAGAAATATTTTATTTAGAAACAGAAGTGTATCAAATTTATGAATACTAAGTGAAAGGACTATCTACAATGGTGTCATGAAATAATGCTGTTTTAAAGTAACATAACAGTGGAATCTTTTAAAAGCTTTCCAGTTCTTACTTGTCAGAGAACTTGAAGTTTTCTAGCTGTTGTATGACATCAAACACCTTGCTTAGCGGCGTGCGGAAAGCATCCATGGGAGCAAGAAAATTGGAGGACCACGGATACACTGCTGCCCGGACTGTTATCTGCTGTACATAGCCCACTGGTGGTCCCTTCAGCTGAAATGGTCATTTTAAAGGTCTTGTCATGTCAGGTCGGAAAAGTTTTGACATATTATAATTAAGATATACATGGATTCACAAACACGTCAAGATGGGAGAATGGCAAAGAAATCTCCATGATTTGAGATTGAAAGCAGGAAGATTTGCTGGCAACACAGTATATCATCATTATATTACTTAGAACTATTTTACTCTGACAAAATTACAGAAGTTCAAATGCTGTCAAAAACTCTAGACCTCACAACCAGCTAGGAAAATCTAGGAATTGTAATTTTTTACCAGAATCTATGAGACTCACAATCGGTGAAACTCAACATTTCTGGCTTGACCAGGAAAGTGTTGTTCAAAATTAAATACTGAGTTAATATGTATTGCCTAAGAAACTGATCTTTCTTTCTAGAATCTGTGGCTTTCTACTAATATATGTTTCTGTTAACCATTCTGATGAAACCTAACCCATCTAGTTTTCAGCTCAACCTCATTTATTCTCTTTAAATTCAGGTCTTTCCAATCTTTTAAGTTTCAACTCACCTTCATTTATTCTCTTAATGCCTTAACCATACAGGTTTCGACTCACCCTCATTTATTCACATTAAGCCTTACCCATCTAGGTTTTAGCTCGCCCTCATTGTTGCTGTCTTTGAGGTTAGGAGAGACTGAATCTGTTGGTGACATATCTTCCCTGAGGGGCACAATATGTTCCACAGGTACATTTCCTGGTAACGGAACATAGAGCAACGGCAAGCTGTAACATACAGAGTTCAAATAACGGTTAATATATAATCTGTAACCTGTTAGTGACCATAATAAGGGGATAACCCTATATATGTAGCTACTGTATTTTGAGATTTGTGTGGTAACGGAACACAGAGCAACGGCAAGCTGTAACATACAGAGTTCAAATAACGGTTAGTATATAATCTGTAACCTGTTAGTGACCATAATAAGGGGATAACCCTATTGATGTAGCTACTGTATTTTGAGATTTGTGGCAGTGCATGATGATTATACTGTTGCAAATTGAGTTTTGCTGAAGACGCAGAGCAAAGCTAGTACAATGGATATTTGTGACAGTAAATTGTGATATACTGCCATAAACCTCAAAATACAGTAGGATTGTAATTCCCTTAAAAGCTTAAATCACCAAAAGAAATGACAATTTCATGATATTTTGTGCATTTTCTTCAATATTTGGATCACTCTAGTCGTGGGTTGGTGACGTCAAAACATTCATAGCGCTGCAGAATTACATTGACCTTTCAGGCCCAATATTCCTTGAATAGCACTTGGGTATGTATCATATATTCCAGTACTTCTCAAAAGAATACTGAGTTAATTCCATTACTTATTCAGAATATTTGTGGGTACTTTTCAAGCAGTGACTTTAAATCAAGCACTTTTCATAATCTTTATGCACCATGTCACAGTCAGTTATATATATATACATAAGGAAACACATTGTGTACCAAAGTGACTGTGACCCAGAGCTATTTCCTTATTAACAGCTATGCAGATACATGTATCAGTAAATCATTAACATTTTCTACTGACCTAATTATTTTTTACATGAAACAAATTATTGTGCACAAACTTTGCCATTGGCAAAAGTCAAAACTAATGCATATAATTAATATATAATTATTCCTTAAACTGTAATCTATTACGCATACAGTTGGCATTATATTATAGTATCATGACAATTAATGTAAGTTTACAGGCATTGATTTATGTGTCTAAAGCCTTCATTATATAAATTTATATACAAGTAATAACTACTTTTCAACATCTTGTCATTTGCGGGTCAAAACCTTACAGCTATATTTTTGGTCGAACTTAATTTTTACTGTTTATTTTTTTTAAATTAAAACATTGCCTTTAAATTAGCATTTCAAAATTAGCAAATATTCAAATATGATTACATGTTCATACATAGTAATTTATTAAGTACGTGTAATTTTACTTAAATGTGACACAGTGCAGAAAGGGATCAAATGGAATTACCTACATGTTTATATGTACCATTGATTTACTAGTGTAAAATTAAATTGTACTTACAACGTGACCAGCATGAGGCTGATGACCAGACAGAGAATGGAGTAGGGGTGACTGGCACAGAACAACCCATGGGTGTAGTATATCCGCGCTACTCGGTCCTGTAGGGACATGGCAGCAACTCGGTGCCAACCATAAAATCCTCACACTGTAGGGATGAAGTCAGCATAGACTTCTCATGGCTAAACAGCTTTCACATGTCTGATTCCTGCAAATTTTAACACCATTAGTTCAATTAATGTGTAAAACAAACTCACATTTACTCAAATGTATACACAATCTACATGCACTGTTATATACTTGTGGCTGAATGTGTTTTGACGTGTTATAAATGTGGTCTTGTGTAACAAGCCCCAGGCCAGGAAGCTTGTAGAGCAAAATGATGACTCCTCTATTGTAAGTACAAGTGATGATCAGAATCTGTCACAATTAAAATTCTTCCGCGTAGGTACATTTTAGGACTATTCTTTTTTTGATTTTCTAGGAGTTAGTCTGTTTGCATAATAGCCTGTCTTACCTGTAACCTTCCCTTTAACCAAGGAATTTGGACCTGTATGGTCAACATTGATGTTAAAATAAATAAAACACAAGGCTTCGAGGACATGAATATCTGGCAATCTCAGATTGGCATTAATATGCATTGAAAAAAAAAAAATCCACTGAAACTGGAATTCAATATTCCTACATTTAAACTATTGTATATATTTTTCAGATGTTTCCGATTGAAATAAAGATACAGTATTTGCATGTCAAATTGCTTTAACGTTGTTATCAATATGTATTCGCTGTTTATCTAACCAAGGACAGTGTATACATGCAGCAGTTAGCTGTTTGATGACATCAAATGGTTTGGTGTTATTTTTGAAATTACTGTATCAAACACTGCAGCACTTAATTAATGTGAATATATGGAATGAATCCTGTTCTGTTGAGGTTTAGGGGGTATTTAATCGATAGGACATGTTTGAGACACTGACAGCACATTGATTTATTTAACCCTTTCACCCCTATGTAACTTCAGTAGACTTTACCATTCATTGATCTGGATAAGTCCATCATGGTCTACAGTGGTGAAAGGTTTAAATCAAATATTATAATTTAAAGTTTACAGTTTAACTTTTTGTTAATAGAATTCAAGCTTGTAACAGAACTTCTATACATCGGATCCCCAAAGGTTGTTCCATTGGTTTGTTACATCACATTTGGCATAATATGTCACAAAATCATAATAGCATTATTCAGGTAGGAAATTTAAACTTTCTTAAGTTCTAAGGATAATATTATATATAAGGTATGTGTTATAGCATGAAATGACAAGTTTCTGGAACAGGATTCTACATCATCTACATGTACACTAGACTATAACGCTTCAGATATAAAAAGACCTCATTTATTGTGATAATACATCAATTTACATATAAACAGCTTAAAGTTACAAAACTGTGGCTCATAGCTAAAAACTAGGTCTTCATCTTCACAGGAAAAACTTATTATAGATTTATAAAAAAAAATATATATAGATCCATTAAATGTAGATGACTTGACGTCTTTTTATACCTCCTTCTGTCTTCTTTACATACATGTATGATTGAGCTGGTAATTTTAGGTGTTTTAGTCTCCCAGATATAAAAGATCCTTTAATATATAGTTCTGGGACATATTTTAGTTGCTCTCTTTTGAACCGCTTTTTTTTATTAATATTAATTATCATGTATAGAAACCAAATAGAACATGAAAAGTCAAAAGGTTTCTTTATTTTTTCAAATGTGTTTAATGAAATTTTAGGCTTGTATATATATATCATTCCAATGTCTTCCTCTACTTCAGAATGAACAGAACTATAAGTGGAAGGTTTTCTGAAATTTACAAAAAAATTGAAGTTGGATTTCATTTTTTGTATTAATGTGTGTAGCAGAGCTAGACTGGTCCGATTGAAGGGGCTCAGGTAGCTATAGCTCAATTGGTAGAGCATCTGTCTAGTGTTCAGATGGTCTGGGGTACGTGAGAACCCTGGTCTGGGCGTGCATTTTCCCACTCCTACTACATTTCTTGCCGGTGATCACAAACCCTTGTTTCAAGCATTGTGTGTATGCTTTGTAAGGGGGTACTCGAACCTGGGTTGTAAATATGTTATGTCTAGATGACTTAGAAAAAAAGGAGGGAGAAACTAGGTCAATAGTCAGCAAGCAGGTAGCTTAATTGGTAGAACATATAAAACCACCAACTTGCGTATATTTGAAAACTAGCCTATTATACGCAAGTTGGAGTATGGATTTGTTACTAAAAATAACCCAAATCGCTTTAACAGTAACTTTTGCAAGATATTATTGAAAATAGCATCAATTTACGACAAGGTAAATAATATTTTGCTAAAAGATGTTGACTGAAAGCGTTGGCTACTTAGAAAGTTGATGTAACTTTACCGGAAGTATTGCATCTATTTTTGGCACTTTCCCACATGCAAATAAAGTTTATTTTTGCATTTGTATTATGTAATTTCATGAAAGAATAAATGCGACTTGGACAAACAATTTGAAAAAGTTAAGATTAAAGTGACTTTTGCTATTTTTAGTAACAAATCCATACCCCTATTGGCGTATATAATAGTAGAGTTTGCGTATGATACGCAAGTTAGTGGTTTTCCCCGACCTGACTACTATTGATATTGATCTTGTTAAGACTTTCAGTCGCTGGCTACGTAGTTGCGGGTCCGTGTGATCTGGCCATGCATTTTTCCATCTCCTGTTACAAAGGTTTATTATTGTAGAAAATTATAGTACGGTTCCAGAAAGACACGAAATTTGCCACTAAATAGTCATGTGTTTTCATTCTAAGTTTCTTCTGTAGAGCGGGACATTGCGTCCATGTAAACAGAAAAAAAAATTCACGAATGCATGAAGTGCATTTTCCAGAGCTTTCAATAAGTTATATTCACAGTCGCGCATCATTTTTAAAACGAGTGCTAACCAACACGAAAAAAACCCAAGCCGGATTCACCGATTGCTAGTCACTGTCACTGGCGCCTGCTTTCAACAGTGACTACTCGCGATCGGGGGCCATCACGGTGTCATGTTGTTGTCGGTAAATAGCACAGGTCTGTTTAGTTTTCGCCAATCTAGAACAGCTTTATCATGCAAAATACACTTACCGTCTGAATAAATCCTTTTATATGTGTATAAAAACGATCAATATCTCACAAGGCATCACTTTTAGAATTTGTTTGCTTGCAAAACAATGTGATAGGAAGTGAACTTATCTATTTCCGGTCATACGGTGTGCAATAGAAACACGGCGTTTCATTGGTAGAAAGTTTGTCCGCCTTGAGTTAAAAATAAATATGACGAATAAAAAACAACATCGTACCATGTTGCTATCTAAAAATAAATGTCCATGGAATCCTGTTTGTCATAACTATGGGCTGATAATTTATTTTCGGATTGAGGATCAAGACACCTTTTCTCTGGCAAACAAAGAATGTCAGAGTTTTCTATGGCCCTAATCTTAATTAGTATCACTGCGCAGTATGGCAAGGTTTTTGACAGAATAGTGGAAGATGTATTCCTAGATGATTCATAACAGAATAAAAGCTAATAGGGCCTGTATCGCTCACATTTGACTTCCAGTTGAAATACCTCCCGGCGCTAACTTTTGACATAACGTATCTAGATTTAAGATTTATTATTAACCCAGTGACGCATCGTAGGCCTGATCATCATATGGAAATGCTAACATTTGCACAACGTTTGGTTAAATAATCTGACGGAATCGAGAATTGTTCAGCATTATCTTAGCCCAAATCAAATGAACCTTTTTACCACGTGTAATTCGGTTATTGTACCACCCAGCCACTGACCACGCTCAACGTTCCCCAGGCGCGTAGCTACCATGTAAGCCAATAAGCCCGGGCTTGCACATGATTTTGACAAGTATAGGTTTTCATGACGTTATTTTTTCTTGTTGATACTATAAAGTGGAGTTTAAGTTTTGAATATATAGTATACATATGTAATTCCTCAGATATGATACATTGTTAATAGTTAGTACAAAAATGTATTTAGTTTAGAAATAGACATTGCATTAATGGACAGTTCCAGGCGGAACTAAACTGCTCGATTGAGTAAATTGAGAAACTCACGCCTGGCGCAAACGACTCCGAGTATGGCACAGTGGACACAGACAGTCAATGTGTTTTTTTTATTTTCCAACAGAATTGAATGAAATTCCATACACTTATTAGTAAATTGTCTTCTCTATCCTTCATGCCATACTTGCCCTGGTAGGGGCCGGATTTGCCCCAGGGCGGGGCTCTTCCGGCCCCCAACTCTCTCGACCTAAAAAGTCCAATAATTCCCAAACTATGGTCTTGTTTACGATTTGGTTATTAGTTTATGAAAGACAATACATTTCTTTTTTAAACAAAATATTCATGGGGGAGACCCCCCAGACCCCCCTTACGGGAGGGGGAAGACCCACTCCCGTACCCTCCCCCTGCTCGCGCTTCGGGGGNGGGGGGGGGGGGGGCTGCCTTCGGCATACCCATGTCGGGGCTTACACATGGTAAAGGGGCTACCTACGCGCCTGTTGCCAGAGACGTATATATATATATTATACCGCGGAAGACAGTATATTTTCCCCTCTCTTGTATCCTTTACTGTTGCAGAATTAACTTATTTCAGACCAAAGTTGTTTGAAATCCTTCACCCATACTTATAACGAGTCTTTTCATGAGTTTCTTCTAAAACTTCTACCTATAGCTTTTCTCTTAGTGGACCCTCCCATATATATTCCCCTTAGTGACAATACATTTCCTTAATACAAAATTGGCCCAGTAATGTTTCAGACCAGATGCCAAATTAGGTTGAAATGCAATCAGTCGTATGTTACACCCGGGTGAGAAATCGTATCGGGGTGAGAAATAGTGCCGTAAATTTTTCAGTCGTATACAAGGGACAAGTGTTTTTTTTAAGTTGACAGACGCGGGACGACGGACATCGCGCTTAGTCATAATTAGCTCTCATTACCTTTTGGCAAGTCCTATAAGTTATGAATGGAAATGGGATCAAGGAACGAATTGTAAAACTTATTTAAAACCTAATGATAAAATCACGGACTTAGATAATCTAATTCCGTGATAAAATTGAGCACAAGAACGTATGCTTGTTGTAGGAAAATACGACGATATCTAGGTAGTTTATGATAAAGTTTATTGTAGAATTTTCCTACAAAACCGTTTTGTTTTTTAAAAAACTCGTTCGTTTACAACTATCCAAAAACGTGTTATCTAACAACTAAAACTTGTCATTTTAAACGTATAATTTAACGTCACGACATTGGAGCATGACGTGAGGGTAATGCTAACAGGCAAACACTGGCATACTCGTTAAAATTGACGGAGCCATTCACATATATAATTAAAGAATTATACATAAGTTATCTCAACATCGGTCTTGATGACATAGAATAATGACAGAGTAATAGATAATGTTGCAGCAGCTGATGACAGGGCGATACGCTTCAGCATCAACTTATTAAATAACGGGAATGTTTGTATAAGTGACTTTTCCCGATAATTTTAACAGAAAAATGAAATACGATTATTATATTATATTACTGTCTACAACACAATATAAGGCAGGAAACAGATATCGTGAATTGTCACCAACAGCATAGTTACCATAGCACATGTCTGTGACATAAATATTGTACTTACATTTTGTCGTGGGCGGGGATCTGGTTTTCAGTTCCGGACTACATGTAGTTTTATACAAACATTTTGGAAATTGAGGGTATTTCCCTTTTTTCTTCTATATTTAGCCACGTAACCTCATTAATAGGAAAGAGTTAATGTAACCTCCCAGACGATAAGGTATTTAAACAGAATTTTATTTATATGTATCAGTAGCCAGTGTGAACATGGCGCCGGCCTGCAGACTGAGGACGGACGGAATGTCTAATACGATTTTCGAAGCAACACCACTGAGAACGTTTCTGATGATACCAAATATTTTGCTCCACGATTTTCCTAGACATACCCTTTGAATACCTAAACGGGTTTTTTTTAATTTAATTTGTCAGCTTATTACACAATTAAGGAATATTCTATATGCAGAAGTATATGGTACATTTGACCCCAGTGATCTTGTACGACCAAATATTAGTTTAGGCTTTGCAGATTGCAGAAGTGATTTGAACTTTTAAACGCATTTGAACCCGCTGTGGATGATGTTTAGGGTGAGTCATTTTATTTTGACAAACTTGTTAGCCTTCAAATTAGCAAGCTAAAAGTCAAGTCTAGACTTTATGGATCTCTAGAATAAGCAGTTCTATATATTATAACACATTTGACCTGTGCGATATGAGCTTAAACCTAAGCTTAACATTCAAGTCGATAAGAGATAAATATTAACATTAAAATTGTCTTTCATTGATGAATGTCTTCGCCCTGTTTACTTTTCTGTTATGCTGTATTTCACACTTTTTTTGCTGTAAACGTTTCCTTGCCATTTTTTAGTATGCCATACGCCCATTTTGTAAACGATTCCTTTTTTTATGTTTTCTCGTAACTTTTCTGGGGCGCCAAGCATGCTCTGTTGGGGTTATAATCGTAATATCTGATTGTTCACCATCCTTATACTGTCATTGACTTCCTTGTTCATTTCGTCATTATTTTATATCAGATCTCAATTCTAAACTTTTCACTCCCACTACCAATTTTTCAAATTCCATGACTTTGCCGACATCTTTTTACCATGATCACAGGGACCTGAGAATTTGTTACAGCTATATTTGGACCTTAACTATGGTGTTCAGAGTAATTTTAGATGTTTTAGGGGTTTAGATAGACTTTTGGTAAAAATGACACCCCCAATGATTGGGGGTGTCAATTTTACCGAAAGGCGATCTAAACCCCTATAACATGTCAAATTACATGGAACACCTTAGTTTAGGTCCAAATATAGCTGTAACAAATTCTCAGGTCCCTGGTATCATGACATGATCCTTAACCTTACTTTTTGTCGTGTTCATTTGGTTAATAATTTGTAACCAGGTTTATTGAAGACGTTATCAGGACTGGCAAAAAAATAAATCAATTTCACCTTCAAACGCTTACCGCGGTCGTTAATTACTACTAAGCTCTACGATTAAGCATAACAATTTTGATTCTCTCAACGTAACTTTTCTTTTCTTGGTAGTAACACGCCTGCTACCCCATCCTACGATATTTCAAGAGATTGAACCTAGTATAATGAATTCCGTGATAGATATAGGCGGATACACTTACAAACAGAATCTTGAGAAATATAGATTGAAAAAGAGTATGGACAAGTTCTGGTTGCTTTCATGATCTCATAGGGAAATATTTAATACCTTATGAGATGTGAAGGCCAATGCTATGTTTTATGTTTATTACCTTGTCTTGTTACTCTGTCTCCTGCATACACTACGCACATGGGGGCACATCCTTAAATGACCTTAGCTGCTTACACGACGTTAAACAAAATCAAACCAAACCATACCAAACCGACTACTAGCCACTACTCCGGTTCTAAATTGGCACTTACATGGTGGGTGTTGTCGATGAAGCAGACGACTCGTACACTTCCGGAACACCTTGTCTTATTACTTTGTTCATATTTTGCCATGGTTTGTTAGATTCTGAGTTCGAATTACGTTGTTTTTTTAACATTTTAGCATCAATTTTCATCCCTAACCGAAAACAGGAGATAGTTGTTTTGTTGGGTGTCCGTCCGCCTGTCTGTCCATAGCGCTTTCCCGGACGATATTTCAAACATGTTGTGCGAGTCGCCCTAGTGGATGTACAGAACCATATACCAATGTCACCGTTTCTGAAGAAAAATTAATTCTGTCCGGATGATAACTTGAGAAAGGACGATCATACAAAGATCAAACTTGGAGAACCTATCGATTTGGGCTTGTTCCACCATTGCTAATAAAAATAGAATTTTGCTTAGTTACGTATGTCCAGATGGTCGTAATGTGTAAATGTTTGATCGTAAAGAAACTGCATTTTATATGAAGACAATGGGTAACACGTCCACCACACAGAATTATTGTAAAACAGACTGTGTAGGTTCTTGCCCTTCTTGAGCACAGATCAACGAAGATATATCCTGCTTATGGGATTGTGCAGCGTCTGGCCAGTCGGTGTCTTAAGTGATTATTTTTGAGTAAACAATACGTGTATGGTAATGATATCTGGACAGTAGCATGCTGGGATGAAGAGCTATCAAGGTTTTT